AGCTTTCCAGTTGTTAGTAGGCACTTTTGCACCTTAGATCCCCCAAGGTAGGTAACGTTCCGGGATCATAAAGGGACCCTCACATCTTAATAGTCCTACAAAAACCGACAAAGCCCAGCTCGTCTGAGTTCCGAGAGCGTGAAGGAAACTCCACCTGGGCAATCCGAGGCTAAAACAGGGGGTCTGCACGGCACGGTCATCACCCTGATCTCCGCTCTGGAAGTGTCTGTGCCTGGTCGAAGTCTCTAAGCAGGGGTTTAAGGGCTTAGGGTTTGTCTAACCCGGCTGGCTGCTTAGAGACCTGGATGCAAAAAAAACGGGCTTAGGGTTGGGGAAACAGGGAGCCCTTACGACCCTCATTCAATCAGCTTAGGGTTCGAAGGGTCAGGGCCGGTCAGGGTTTCAGACTTGTATTCGCCTAAGAACCCCACAAAAAAAAGAAAAGACTCGTCCTCTTAACGGAAATACAAGGATGACTATTCCTAAACCCTAAACCCTAAACCCTAAACCCTAAAACCCTAAACCCTAAACTTGATTTTTTGGGGAGCCAGAGCATGGATGCAAACGAAGAGTCTCGCGTCGAGGCCCCAATGGCATTTCGAGATGTCGGCTCACCCCGGGGCTCAGGGTTTAGGGTTTAGGGTTAAGGGTTTAGGAGGGTTTAGGAGGGTTTAGGGTTTAGGGTTGAAGGTTATTTCCTGTGTAGGATTTAGGGTTTAGGGTTTAGGGTTTAGGAGAGTTTAGGGTTTAGGGTTTAGGAGGGTTTAGGGTCTAGGGTTTAGGGTTTAGGGTGGTTTTGAAAATATGCTCGTGTCCCCTGTGGTTCTGGCTACATCTGTCAGCGAGGCCAGATGGACAAAGGGTTTAGAGTTTCGGGGGGCGATAGGCATCAAAGGGGCACTGCGATTATGATTGAACAGATGGCTGTTGATTGTAACCGTTCAAGGCTTTTTTTTTGCGGGGGCTGCTTGAATTTTGAACAGATGGCTGTTGATTGTAACCGTTCAAGGCTTCGGGTCTTTTTTTGCGGGGCTGCTTGAATTCCAGGATAGGACCTGTTTCTCTTGTGTTTCTTGTCGACTGCCGGTGCTTGTGTTTTTAGCGCTTTAGGGCTTGGGGTTGAGGGTTTCTGCCCGCTTGTAATGTCGGGCTTTGACTAGTTGATGCTGGCGGCAGTTGCAAACCCCTAATCCCAAAACCTCATGGGTTTCCCTACTAACTACCCCCCTAAATTCCCCCCCTAAACAACCTTTATCAGGCTTAATTATCCGTAAAGAGCCTTAATTGACGGGGGGGGGGGGGGGGGGGGGTAGTACAGGGGGGGTAGTAGGGGATCCCTTGAAAGCCCCAAAGCCCTAAACCCTACACCCCAACTTCGCTTTGGAGATTTAACCTCTCAAAATGCGCATGAAGGGCTGGCGCGTCTGTTGTCTTTCAAAGGTGTTGGGGGGGAAGCCAGGAAGCCCCAGTGTGGAAGACAGTGGAAGAACCCTAAACCCTAAACCCTAAACCCTAAACCCTAAACCCTAAGCCCTAGACCCAATCCCCTTTTCGGATCCAGGTGAAGCTAAGAAGCCCCTCTGTGTTCAAGAACTTTTGCCTCGCCAAGGCTGAGATCGCTACAGCGTGATTTGATTACGCACAACTCTGCCACCTGGGCCTCCGTCTAGGGTTTAGGGTGTAGGGTCTAGGTAGGGTCTAGGGTTTCGGGTTTAGGGTTTAGGGTTTAAAGGGTTTAGGGGTTGGGATTTAGGGTTTAGGGTTTAGGGTTTAGGGTCTAGGGTTTAGGGTTTAGGGTTTAGGGTTTAGGGTTTAGGGCTAGGACGAGCTCAGTTCCGGGTTCACACAAAGGGTTAGGAGGGGCACTGGTGGGATTCCAGAACTACACTACTCTGCCATTGCGACTTGCACAAGCTGTTGCCTGCAAGCTTCGGCATTCTGCTCATCCTCACGCTTTGTCGTAGAGTAGATAACCTTTAACCTTTGGGGTATCATAATTCGTATCTAATCCCCAAGGTTAACCTTTAGTTTTCTAGGCTACTGGACGACTGAGCACGGCAGAGCACTTGTCTTCGCATTTGTTAAGCTGTGATCCGCTCATCTCAACACCCCATAGCCGACAGTCGGCCGTAGCAGCCACGGAACCCCAAATTGGTTCAGGTTCCTGGTGTAGTGTTTGGGTGTAGGGTTTGTTGGTTCTTTCGACCGGAACACTACACTCTCAACCCTAAACCCTATAAAGCCAAGCTAAACTCTACAAACCCTTAAACCCTGTAACCCTAAACTCCATTGCCGAGGTCATTTCCGCCTGCGCCAAAGGCCGCGCGTTGCTGCCGGCATTGGCGCTGCTGGCGTCGCTCCCCTTTGCCGACCTGGAGCGGCGTCGGGGTTGAGGGCATCGGCTTTAGGGCTTTGGGCTTAAGGTTTAGGGTTTAGGGCTTAGGGTTTACGAGTTGTACTTCGAATTCAACGCAGCGCGTAACAAACTATAAACTCACCTAGAAATCCACCTTCGCGCGCAACCCTGCCCGACTTTTCCTCTGAGTATCTTCGAACGTGCTGGTCCTAATCTTTGCGTGCAGGAGGCCGATGAGATCTCCTACAACGCCGCGATCAACGCTTGCAGCAAGGGGGAGTCTTCCCGATGAGAGCCTTGGACATGGGAAATCAGGTTTAGGGTTTAGGGTTTAGGGTGTAGGGTTTAGGGTTTAGGGTTTGGGCCCGTACTATCAACCCTGCACATGTAGTTTAGGGTTTGGGGGGTTTAAGGGGGCCTTCCGTTGCGAACTTGATGAGCGGCGCTCTTCAACTACACGAGAAAACTAAACAGGGTTTTGGGTTTAGGAAACCCTAAACCCTAAACCCTAAACCCTAAACCCTAAACCCTAAACCCTAAGGGTGCTGGTGTGCTGTACCTCAAGACTGGCCCCTGAGGATTGCCAACGTGGCAATGGACTGCACGGCTTGCTGGTGCTAACCTCAGGGGGTTTAGGGTCTAGAGTCTAGCGTGTAGGGTTTTAGAGGTTAATCAAGCACTACGCAGTATGAAGCACTCAAGTTGCAGGACGTGATCCCGTGCATCGTTGGCCTGCTTGCAAAAATATGAACCATCTGAACCTGCCACTAGTTCTTGTGTGATTCTTGCGCGCAAGTCATGCTCTGCACATGTGCAGCAGCAGAAAGATCGCTGGCACCTCGATCTTCCTTGGCTTCCCCTTAAGGTGCCGGACTTGCTGACGCAGGGAGAATGGTGTTGCCCACCCAGTCCACGAGGTCAGCAGATGTTAACAGCATTCATGACAGGAGTTTGCAGTCTAGACTCTAGACATAGCAGCCCCACACATCCCACACCAAGTTGCACCAGACATTTATGGATGTTTGGCAGCCAAGCAGGCCCGCAAGCTCCGTCAAACCTCGCATTGGCTGATTTCTCCGGCCTTTCTGTCACAGTTGTCTGTCGCACTTTGCAGGCAGCCGCTCGGCCGGCAATGTGCTCATGGGCTGATGCTGCCTGACAGTGCAGGGGCACATATCCTGCAGCAACAGCTGCCATGAGATTGGCATGCATCGGACATGTTGTCTCAAAGATTTCCTGCAGCAAGACAGGGCGGAATGAGTTCAGAACCATCCTGAAGCTCGGTTTCCATACACGCCACAAGCAAGGGTGGTTCAATGTATGCCCGGTTGAAGACTTCAGCATTATTGCCTGTTACATAACGAGCCCCGGAAAGGCCCTTAAAGAACGGTGAGCCTCAGCTGCTTTCACAACTTGGCGAGTACTGTAACGAGATGTCAAACCTGGTCCAGATGGCGCTTTAAAGTAGTGATGGCAAAACACGCAACACATGGGCCAGTGGAATGTGCTCTGTCTACCAGGCATATGACAGGAGCAGTTTCAAAGGCTGTCTGTCCAGGTGATCTGAAATCAAAACGTAAGTCGAAGGGCCTGTTGAGGAGTCTTTTCGGCATTCAATCGCACCTTTATGCTCCCTCAGCCCAAGGCTCAGGGTGTTGGTTCAGGGTTTAGAGTTAGAGTTAGGGTTTAGGGTTTAGGGTTTCGGTTTAGGGTCCTTGAACCGGGCCTCTCTCAGCTCCGCTCCTTTTGGGCGGTGGTTCACTGCCCGTAAGCTGTGATGACGGGGATGCCACAGACCGTGAACCAAGAGGCAATCTATTCCAGAGCACTTGGCAGTCCAGGTGTGCAAATGTCCTCCGAAGTGAGGCTGGCGAAGCCATACTAAGACTATACAAGCTTCACTTTTCTTTTAGGCTTGCAACCACGGAAGCTTTCCTTCCTAAGTCCACTATGACTATTTATTAATATTATTAACGGATATATTACAGATACATTGAGACGACCATCTTTTTTTATTACTGTCACATCTACGGCCACTCTCACAGTGTGACGAAGGCAAAAGGCTTTTTGCTCTTTCTCAGTTCACGCAGGAGCCTGGGGGCTTCTGGGAGAGCCTCTGCCCAAAACGGTTGAACTTCTCTGTCACAGAAGGGCTTAGGGCTTAGGGCTTAGGGCTTAGGGTTTAGGGTTTAGGGTTTAGGGTTTCAGAACTTCTGCTTTCTTTCCATCGGTGCCGGCAGTTCTTTCGTCATGTGCCTGGGCCTTGCACTGCAGCAGCTCCAGCCCCAATCCGCCAAGTGTACCCTTGCTCAAGTCTTTTCCCTGATATTTTTTTTGCTGAACAACGCCAGACAGGTCTTAGAGTCCAGCAGCACAGCATTTAAAGAGATGGAAGCTCGACTTGACAGGCAGCATTCGCCCATGTCACAACCCCCTTCTGAGCACTAAGTGGGTACAGGGTGGGGCCCCCTTACTATACTAACTGTAGTCAAGGGACTTATAACCTAACTTAGGGTCCTTATAACCCAATTTAGGGCCCTTATAACTCTACTTATAACTAGGGGGCCCCACCCTGTAGGCCTCCTCAGCCGCACAAGCATTGTGCCTGTCGGTCAGTGGGAGCAGCGCATCGCACTTCCCCTGCATGTCGACCACAAGGAGCTTGGTAAGCCGCTCTGCCAAAGTTGTTTGATTGTTGTTTCTGCATATCATTTGTGTAGCAGGCATGCCAGCATTGCAAGAGGTGGTTGGTTTTGGAGCGTTTTCATGCTCTATGTCGAAGCTACTGTCGCACATGCATGCCCAACTATACTTGTGATTCACCAACCCCAAACTCCCACCCGGACCCCACCAAGTCGCCCGAGAATCCTGAAGCCCTCCAAATCCCAGCCGTAATGTTAGCCAGTAGTACTACTCACCGTATTAACCCCTAAACCCTAAACCCTAAACCCTAAACCCTAAACCCTATTGTTGCGAACTACTAGTGAGGTGGATGTCCCGATGGCGACGTGACGTCAGACCGGCCCTGGGCCATCAGTGGGAGCATGGCGACCTGGCAAGGGAGAGAGGCCGAAAAGACGGCGCTTTGGGTGTTGGGTCTAGGGCTAGGGTTTAAGCCTTGAAAATCTCGAACTTCGTGAGGTTCAGCAAGTTGCAGGGTGCATAAGGTTCATTCAGGTGAGAAAAAGCCTGACATCCTCTGCTGAGGCAAACTTTTCCAGATCGACGCTGTACGACGGTAGCTCGGCGCGGAGCTGTTTTGCAAAGGAAGGGTTGAGGGTTTGGGGTCTTGCCCAGATGCAAAAGGATCTGCAGGGTGGACGAATGCAGGGACGGTGCGTAGAGCCCATAGGTTTTCGGCTTCGAGACCCGAGAGCAAGGAAGGAAGGGAGGAGTGAGAGAGGGACAGGGACGGGGAAAGGCAAGAAGGGAGTCAAGGAATAGAGGGAGTGGAAAGATAGAATAAGAGATACATACATATAGTGTGTACATATATATATATATACGCAGAATTTTCAGAAGTATAGTTATGTTCAGAGTATCAACTTCCCTCCGTCGTGTGTATCTTGCGCCCATCTCATTCCAGGCCCTTCTAAACCTTCTAAACCTCAAGACCTTTCAAAAAGTTAAAGGCTTGACTACTTTGACCGTATCGCTGCGCGTCGGAAAGGCCGAGCTCGATGTGGCAATTTCCCAAAATATGTGTACCCCAAAAGAGTATCATCCTCATTATCGGAACCCGCAATAATTGTGTGTATATATATACATATAAATAAATAAATATAAATATATATGTATATATATACCCATTACATAACCCTTTCTGGATTAAAGAACCCCAAATGCGGGGAACCCTTTTTCGGAAGCCCCATATGCAGACCAAGCTAAGGCCTCCAGAGGGCGACGACCTTGGCATTGTTCCAATGGTGGGCTCCTGGTTTGTGGCTCATCTCGCGGGGGTTTGGGGTTCAGGGTTTAGGGTTTAGGGTTTAGGGTTTAGGGTTTAGGGTTTAGGGTTTAGGGTTTAGGGTTTAGGGTTTAGGGCCTGCCAAACGGGTGATGCTCCGGCTCTGGCAACTCAGAGATCCCGGGTTCACAAGGGCTTGGGGGTGCCCTAACACTCGGTGCTTCTCGGCTGCGATATGGGTGGTTGTCAAAATTATGATCCCTTTTGGGGTAACCTAAATATTAGGTGCCGTATTATAATAGGGATCCAAAAAGGGACCATAATTTTGACAACCACCCATATGGAGCACCATGCTCAGAAAGTGTGTAGAGGGACAGTCACAAGCTGCATCAGTCGCACCGTATTCAACCCTATATTGAATGTGATTGAACGGGCACGAAACCCCCAATTCTGCATTAACTCCCATATAACCCTGCTAATTTTGTTGGGTTTGTCGGAATTTCCCGACTCATGGTCTTGACTGTGGCGTGGGGGTGGTGTTGGAGTTTGTTGCCGTGTAGAAGGGGACATGTGCTTTAGTCCTTTGTGCTCTTGATGTTTGAGGGTTTATACGTTACTTTCTCTGTATGCCCTAGATCCTTTCGGAATCTGTCAGGTCATTGTCGAGCTCGATGGCGTGCAAGAGGAGGCGGGGCTGTGGGCACGATGCGCACAACGCAAGTCCTGCTGCAACAGAACCTTATTCTTGTCTTTGAGGGTATAGGTTCCCTTCTATGCCTCTTCAAAACAAAAAAAGACACCCTCTCTCGTTTTAGCAAGTGGGGTTATAAGAAAGGTCACTATACCTATATTTTTTATAAGTACTTAAAACCCTGCTTGCTAAGTGCCCCGATCCTCCAAGTGGTGTCAGATAACTGGACCCTGGGTTAGGTTGGTGAGTCTGCAAAGTATGACCAGGCGATTGCTTTGCCCGCGCTCTGCGTGTCTTCAGGGAAAAGCGTTTTGGCTGTGCACTTCGGTAGAACAGGCTGTGCTGTCACCTTACTGTATCCCCCTTATAAACCTACACCCTAAACTCTAAACCCTAAACCCCTAACCCCTAACCCCTAAACCCTAACCCTAAACCCTAAACCCTAACCCCTAAACCCTAAACCCTAAAGCCTAAACCCTAAACCCTAAACCCTAACCCCTAAACCCCTAAACCCTAAACCCCTAAACCTCCTCCCTCGGCTGCTGCAGGTCCTGGTCGACGATGAGCTGGGCCCAGTGCTGGACCAGCCCAACGGAGGCCCTTAAACCTTAGAACCTTGAACTTGGGATGTTCCTTTTAGGGTTTAGGGTTTAGGGTTTAGGGTTTAGGGTTTAGCGTTTAGGGTTTAGGGTTTAGGGTTTAGGGTTTAGGGTTTAGGGTTTTAAACCTTGAACTTGGGATGTTCCCCCTTTTGCGAACAGTCCTTAGTAGGGATTATAATCGGGGGTACTGTCAAGGACTGTTGGTATAGGGGGGAACATCCCAACCTTGAACCCTAAACCCCCCCGGAACCGAGTTTTTGGGGAAACCGGTTTTGGTGGTGGGGACTTTCAGGCCAGGACGGAAGAACATATTCAGGGTTTAGGGATTAGGGTTTAGGGTTTAGGGTTTAGGGGAACAGATTCTATGGTTACAAAACCCCTCCCTCAGGCCCAGCTAATGACGCCTGTACATCCCGAGACTCCGCGCATGAAGTCTCATGGACTCCCCTGAGCCCTGAGCTTGCTGCTCCGTCTCTTACCTTGAGGTTTAGGGTTTAGGGTTTAGGGTTTAGGGTGTAGGGTTTAGGGTTTAGGGTTTAGGGTTTAGTACTGCTATGGAATTGGGGTGCTCAAACACCCTAATTAGTATGTTTTTTTTTTTTTTTTTTTTTGGGGGGGGGGGTACCTCATTCCATACTGGTACAACAAACGTTACCCCCGGGTCTAGTTGAGTTTCCCTAAATTAGGGTTTAGGGTTTAGGGTTTAGGGTTTGGGGCCTTTGCGCAAGGCCGACTGTGGGCTCGGATGCGCTTTGTCTGGAATTCAGAATGTGGGCCTACCCCGAGTTTAGGGTTTAGGGTTTAGGGTTTAGGGTTTAGGGTTTAGGGTTTAGGCTTTAGGGTTTAGGGCTAAAGCGTTTCGGATTGAGGCTGAACCCTACCCCCCAAGAAGGGACCCTAACTTGCTGTAGACCCTTTAAACATTTATAAACCCTCTAAACCCTAAGGTGGGGTCATTGCTTTTGAGGGTTGAAAGTATGCAGTTATTTCCTGGACATTGCCTGCAGAACCTGCCTTGTTGGAGCCTAAACCCTAAACCCTAAACCCTAAACCCTAAACCCTAAACCCTAAACTACTGGGCTTGCGGCTTCAGGGCTTAGGGCTTATGGATTAGGGTTCTTTTTGCCACCAAAGTCGCACCTCTATCCCCCTTGAGAATTTTGTTTTATTTTTGTTTATATAAAACCCAAGAGGGCATTAAACATAGTATTTTTATCAAGGTTCTAAGGGGAGTAGAGGCACTGGATCAGGGTTTAGGGAGGCCTGATGCAACAAGAGTGTAGGATTCCGATGCAGATCCTCAGACATTGTTGGCCGCGGCTAATGCCGTATTTTCTTGCAACAGCAGCCCCCCCCCCCCCTCAGGGCAGAGGTTGCGAAAGTCCTACGCTGAACCCTTCAAACCCTAAACCCTAGCCCTATAAGCCCGAAACCCTAAGCCCGAAACCACATGAGCCCTTCTCCCCCTAGGAACTACACCCAAGCTGACAAGAGCGGCTTTCACACCGACCGGGCCGCTTGCCTTGAAGGATTGCAGCACTTAAGGTTACTCGGTAGGGCCCTGGATGGGTTAGGGTTTCAGGGTTTCGGGTTTCAGGGTTCAAGGTTTAGGGTTTAGGGTGTAGGCCCTTGGGACATGTTGTATTCCCCCTTCTTGGGTTTAGAAGGATCATATTCAGGAGTATGGTTCAGAGGTTTTGAGGGCCATCCTAACTGAAAGTCGTGACGCAGGGTGAGCTGTGTGTGTGTGTGAGGTGTAGTGTAGGGGCTGCCATAGGGTTTCGGTTTGGGGGTTTGTTGGAAGAGGCCTGCTGGCTAAAGGCCAAAATAGGTTTGCAGTATGAAATGGTTAAGTGGCTTAGTTTTTGCAATTGCGCGCCTTCAAAAGACTAGACGTGCGGCCAAACACAGCGCAGCACTTTCACCATCCGGCATTTGCTGGGTCGCGGGTTTCTAGAACACGGGCAGGATCGCGTGCGGCCTCAATTCCTCCAGAACTCTTCAGCAAGTATTTCCCACGTCGCGCAAGGGTCTGTGTACTTGGGGTTAAAAGTCCCTATATAGGAGGTACTTTAAGGCCCAAGTATTCCCTAATTAGGTGCATGGACCCTTAGGGCTACATCCCAAATGATCTCAGGCTGAGAAGACCTGGCCATACCTCACGTCCACAGAGCGCACGGCGGCAGCCTCAGTCGTGCTTCGCCTCAACTCTTTGGAACCTCTGGCCCCCCTCATGGATCGCTAGCAGTAGATTATAAGCCTTAAACCTTAAACCCTAAACCCTAAACCCTATAATAAACCCTAAAAACCCTAAACCACGAAAGTTAAAGACGCGCAGAAAGCCAGAGTTCTATATCCTGCTTAGAACTGGGCACACCTGGGCACATTTTCAGGCTCAAGACGATAGTAAATCATAGAACCCTGGGCCAGACAATTCGTGGCGATGCCCGTGCCCCGGCCTCGGAGTTGGTTGAGCTGGTCGATCCTGCTCTGGGCAACCCTCGGCGTGGCACAAGACACGGAGTTTCCAGAAGAGGACGGCGTTCTTGTGCTTACAGAGAAGAATTTCCGGGCAGCGCTGGACAAGTACAACTACATTCTCGTGGAGTTCTACGCACCCTGGTGTGGGCACTGCAAGCAGTTTGCGCCAGAGTATGCCGAGGCAGCACAGCAGATGAAGCAGGCCAGCCAGCCAATCCCACTTGCGAAAGTGGATGCAACAGCTGAGCTCCTTGGGGGAACGAAATGAACCTTAAAAGGGCTCATGGTTCATAAACCTTCATAGGAATTATAGTAGTACAGGGTATATATGGTTCATATACCTTAATAGAGATTATAGTAGTGTAGGGTATATGACCCCAATTTTAGCCCTGTTACCCTAAACCCTAAACCCTGACTCCTTTAGGGTTCCTTTGGGCCCCCAAGGCTGAAGCTGGCCGAGGAGTACGGCGTCAGAGGTTACCCCACCATTCGGCTCTTCATCGCAGGTCGTGACCAGGAGTAGGGTTTAGGGTTTAGGGTGTAGGGTTTAGGGTGTAGGGTTTAGGGTTAGGGTTTAGGGTTTAGGGTTTAGGGTTTAGGGTTTAGGGTTTAGGGTTCAAAAAAGGGTTGTGACCAGGAGTATACTGGTGGTCGGACGGCGCAGAGTGTCTTGGCCCACTGGTACCCTTTTTGCCCGTTTTTTGGTTCAAGGTTCCCCTTCTAAAGTAGCTAACAACAAAGAAAGGGCACCCTTTATTTCCCTAAACCCTAAACCCTAAACCCTAAACCCTAAACCCTAATCCCCGATGGTTTGCTGGGCTTCCCAGGTGTCGTAACCTGGCTGCTCAAGAAGGCCGGGCCGCCTGCCATCGAGCTCCAGACAGTGGAGGCAGCAGAGGCCTTCCCCTTTTTTTGGGGAGGGTTTAGGGTTTAGGGTTTAGGGTTTAGGGTTTAGGGTTTAGGGTTTAGGGTTTAGGGTTTAGGGTTTAGGGTTTGGGGTTTCAAGGCTCCCTTATACAAGTAGACAGCCCCAAAAAGGGGTACCCCTTATTAAAGATGGTTGCCACATTTTTGTAGTTCAAGGCTCCCTTAAAAAAGGAGCAACCCCAGGAAGGGTACCCCCAAACGCTAGACCCCAGACCCCCCAAAGCCTAAACCCGAACCTTATCATGAGATGGTTACTGCACGACCAAGGCCTTCGAGAAGGAGAATCGGCTGGCAGTTTTCTGCTTCTGCGAGCAGGCAGTGCGGGAAGCGTTCGAGAAGGCCGCCAGGCAGATCGAGGACGTGATGTTTGCGTACAGCACTGCCCCTGCTCTTGCCAGCAAGTACCAGGTGAACAAGGGACTAAAGTGACTAAAGAAGGGATCCTTCTCAGGGACCTTAGGGTTTCTTTGGGGAGTTATTTAGGACGATTTAAGGTACATAGAAGGGTTATATAGGGGTTTTAACAAGCTTAAGGGTCCCTTCTAGGGGTCCCTCCTGTTTTCCCCAGAAGGTGTACATGCCCACAATCAAGATGAACTTCTTACTGTTGCAACTGGACACTAGTGTTTAGCCATGTCTAGACAATAGTATCCCTCCTTGTACCCCTGAAGGTGAACATGCCCACAATCAAGATGATCTTCCCGCATGACGAACAGTCGGCCACCTTCTCGGGCGACTTGGGCAGTGCGGAGGAAATCGAGACCTTCGTCACTTTGTTGCCCAGTCGTACCCTTTTCACTTTGTTCTCTCTCTCTCTCTCTCTTTTTTTTTTTTTTTTTTTTTTGGGGGGGGGGGGGGGGGTGGGGGGGGGGGGTTAGGGTTTTGGGTTTCAGGGTTTAGAATTTAGGGTTTAGGGTTTAGGGGTTCCCTTATGAAGTAACCAATCCAAAATAAGGGTCACCCTTACTATAACATGGCCACTGGGCAACCAAGGTCAAGAACTACCGGCATCCCATGATCACAGACTTCACTGGAGAAACGGCCGCAGACCTCTTCGGAGACGGACGGCCGATCCTGTTCTTATTTCGAGACAAGGATGACACTTACTTCGCCTTTAGTTGAACTTTAAACTTTTTGGGTTTCCTTATTTTCTTCCCCTTGGTCATTGGAGAAGTAAGGACAAAGGCACAGCTGCAGAGAAGGCCCTTCAAGCCGCGGCCCCGCGTTTCCAGCGCAGACTGTTGCTGTCCGTCGCCGGCTCTAGTGAGCCAATGGACCAGCGGCTGATGGACTATGTTAGTGTCCCTTGGGGACGACATGAAAATCTAAAAGGGTTTATGGTTCATGTTACCTTCATGGGAGTTTTAGTACAAGGAGGGGCCCCCTTACTATACTAGCTGTAGTTAATTCAGGGACTTACAACTTTAGTTTAGGGTCCTTATAAATTTAGGGCTCTTCTAACTCTACTTATGACTAGGGTGCCCCTCCTTGTAGAAGAGGGTATAATGACCCCAATCTTCGGGTTCATTGGTCCCCAAGGTCGAGGCAGAGGAGCTCCCGACAGCGCGGCTTGTCACCGAGCCCCAGGGCACGATGTCGAAGTACCTTGGGGACCACATGAACCCTAACAGGGGTTTAGGGTTTAGGGTTTAGGGTTTAGGGTTTAGGGTTTAGGGTTTAGGGTTTAGGGTTTAGGGCTCGTCCCCAAAGGTACCGACTCGAAGATGCCGTGTCGGAGACCTCGCTGATGTCCTTCGTGGCCGACTTCGAAGCCGGGCGATTGAGCAAGTACCTTGGGGGACGAAATCCCTACATTAACCCTTTTAGGGTTTAGGGTTTAGGGTTTAGGGTTTAGGGTTTAGGGTTTAGGGTTTAGGGTTGAGGGTTCATATTACCTTCTACCAGGGATTAGTAAGAGTAGTATGGGGTACATGACCCCGATTTTGGGGTTCATGTGGCCCCCCCAAGGTACTTGCAGTCCGAGCCAGTGCCCAGCAGCCAGAAGGGCCCAGTCTACACTCTCGTGGGCTCGACCTTCGAGTCGCTCACTTAGCCAATGTTACCAACAATTGAACTCTAAACTTTTTGGTTACCAAAACATGAACTTTAAACTGTTTGGGTTGCCCTATTCAGTAGGAGTAATAAAGCTTAAGCTTTTTCCCTTTGTTATTGGAGAAGTAAGGTCGATAGTGAAAGATCCCGCAAAGGATGTCCTGGTGAAGTTCTACGCGCCATGGTGTGGCCACTGCAAGAAGCTAGAGCCAGTTTCTCAGCAGTAGAGAAGGGAACCTTTCAGCCTTTTTTTTTGGGGCCGGGGGGGGGGGGGGGGGGGGGGGTTTAGAGTAGTAACCTTTAGCCTCTTTTTTTTTTTTTTTTGGGGGGGGGGGGGGGGGGGTTGAGAATCCGCACGTAATCCGGGGGGGGGGGGGGGTTGAGAATCCGCACGTAATCCTAAAGGTAGCCTTCAGGTCCAAAGGATAGTGGACGACTAAGGTTTACAACGCAGTGGCGAAAAAGCTGGAAAGCGTGCCAACCATAACGATTGCCAAAATTGATGCCACGGCCAATGACGTCAATGGGGTTGACATCGAAGGGTTCCCAACCATCAAGTTTTGGCGTGCCGACAATAAGGAACAGCCGATTGACTATGATGGTGACAGGGACATTGACTCGTTCCTGTCCTGGCTGGACGAGAAAGCTGCTCGACCGTTCGGACGCAGCGAGCTGTGAGAAGGCTGTTTGGTTGGGCTGCTAGGATGGTTTGGGAACGGAAAGCGCCTGACTTGGGTCGCGCCTTGAACAATGCACCCTACTGTAGCCTCGTCATCATACACAAACAAGGCCTGCATCAGGTGACACACCGCTCCCGTCTGCTTCACATGACAAGTAGCGAACCTAGGGTCAGGAACAGAGAGCTCAATTTCTCTGCATCCATGATCTAGCTCGGACCCTATCGCTGATTGCCCCCTGGCATGCTTGTCTTGAACTAGGCTGCTAGCATGACGTTGTGGGTTGAGCCCGTGCGCGGCTCCAGCCCTGCCATCCTAACCGATAGTGGAACCTTAAGTGGAGTTGCGAGATGACACATGGGGGGCTTGATTTCACCCATCCGACTATGAGACGTGCCTTGCCTGCCGTGTGCAAGGGTGGAAAGACTCAACCCCCCCAGCCTGCACTTGCGTTCACTTCACGGCGGAACCCAAAACCCAACCTGTGCAACTTCACCCTAAACCCTAAACCCTAACCCAAAGCCCTCAACCCTGATCCTAACCAGTCTGAGTGTAGGGACCCTGAAGCACTCCCGAAAGCTTGATGTCGCTGAAGCCCGGCCCGGGCAGCTCGCTGCCAGGTCTTGCTGAACATGGCCTCGTCCCCAGTCGTTCCGGATTTTGTGCTGCTTTACCAAGTTTTACTGGGGTTGATTTGGGCAACAATCTTCTACGCTTGCTGGGCCCCAAAATCCCTAGACAACCCTTTTTGGCGTAATATGATGTAGGTTTTATATTTGTATATACACTCACCAAGAACAGTAATATAAACCCTGCTTCATATTGAGTACATTGCACGGCCCCGAAGTCCCCACCCAGCTTGGGGGTATTCTAAGTTTCCTGATCTTCATGGGCCGCAGGTTTTCTTCTTCTTGCAATTATCTGAGCGTGCTACATTCCAGAGCCCTAACAACTAACAATACAAACAATCCTACCCTAAACCCTAAACCCTAAACCCTAAACCCTAAACCTAAACCCTAAACCTAAACCCTAAACCCTAAACCCTAAACCCTAAACCCTAAACCCTAAACCCTAAACCCTAAACCCTAAACCCTAACCTAAACCCTAAACCCTAAACCCTAAACCCTAAACCCTAAACCCTAAACCCTAAACCCTAAACCCTAAACCCTAAACCCTAAACCCTAAACCCTAAACCCTAAACCCTAAACCCTAAACCCTAAACCCTAAACCCTAAACCCTACTGTAAGCGCTGAGACCCGAGCCTTGGTCCTAAAAACCCCAGCCCCCAAAGCCCCTGCATCTTCCCCCAAAAAAAGCCTCATAACTTGGGGCCCTGAAACTTGCTGCTGTCCGCAGCCGGTTACTCGGAAAATACCATGGTACTTTGAAAGCCAGCTATAACTGTACTTTTCACCGACTTATAACCCTATGCGGGGACTTAAGGGGCTTGCAAGTGGGTGATAAGTACAGCATCACAATTGGGTTAGTAAGTACCATGAACCTCCAAGTAAGGTGGCGAAGATGAACCGAAGCACCAGGGACCTGCAGCCCATGTCTATGCATGCAGCGAAGCATCGGTTGAAGAGTTTAGGGGTTGAGTCAACTTAATTGAACTGGGTCATTGCTGGGAACCATTTTGGATTTTGATAGATACTTAAACCCGATAAGGAACAAACATGGTGATTTTTTTGATAGTAGCCCAAACAATGGTGCAGTAAGCTTTGAACCCTAAACCCTGATCCTTAAACCCTGAAGCTTAAACCCTAAACCCTAAACCCTAAGCTCTAAAGCCCATAAAGAGGGCTTGGGGTTCATGATTCTGCTGGCAACACAACAACTAGGCCTCTTATCACGATGTTGCCTCTTCGCCTTCTTTGGTTAAGAATTCTGCCACATGGGACTACCCCACTGAGGGTTGAGGGTTCAGGGTTTAGGGTTTAGAGTTTAGGGTATAGGGCCTCAAATGCGAAGTTGCAGACTCCATGAGTTCTGGGACTTCACCAAGAGAACGTCAGGTACGTAGGAGCAGCACGATGCCCGAGCCCGGTGCCCTAAACCCGAAGCCTTAAACCCTAAACCCCTAAAACCCTAAACCCTAAACCCCTAAACCCCTAAACCCCTAAACCCCTAAACCCCTAAACCCCTAAACCCCTAAACCCCTAAACCCTAACCCCTAAACCCCTAAACCCCTAAACCCCTAAACCTCTAAACCCCTACACCCCTAAACCCCTAAACCCCTAAACCCCTAAACCCCTAAACCCCTAAACCCCTAAACCCCTAAACACCTAAACACCTAAACCCGAAGCCCCAACCCCTAAACCCCTAAACCCCTAAACCCCTAAACCCCTAAACCCCTAAACCCCTAAACCCCTAAGCCCCTAAGCCCCTAAGCCCCTAAGCCCCTAAGCCCCTAAGCCCCTAAACCCCTAAGCCCTAAACCCTAAACCCTAAACCCTAAACCCTAAACCCCTAAACACCTAAACCCCTAAACCCCAACACAATATTCAAGCAGGAGCAGCAGCAGCTAATCCCGACTCGGCAGCCGCCAGCAAAAGCCATTCGGCCCCCCGCAGCGGGGCGCTGGCCCCGCGTCTTCAAGATCACTTGCAAGGAGTTCAGGGTTTTTGGGGGTTTAGGATTTAGGGTTTAGGGTTTAGGGTTTAGGGTTGTTTAAGTTGTTTAGGGTTTAGGAATTTAGGGCAGGGTTTCCGGAAAGCTCATGAACGTGCTCGTTCTTTGCGGGTTGGTTTCAGATTCACTGCTGTTTTGTGCGTTAAAATTGGTTTACTCCTTTGGACACTGGTATTCTATGGATCCGAAGCGGAACCGATGTGAGAGGGATCTAAGGGGAGAGGACAGTAGGAATACTCTTTTAGGGTTTAGGGTTTAGGGTTTATAAGGGTTTAGGGTTTAGGGTTTTGGGGGGCATCATTCCCATGAGCGTCATCCTCATCTAGTCATCGGAAGGTTGCGGCGAGAGATGCGGGGCATTTTTACGCAAGAAGATGATGGGGACTATGGGGTACATGGCCTAAAGAGGCACCATGGCTTACAACAGGCACCCCAAAGGGGCGCTAGTTTGAGGAAGCCTCCTCCATGTACTCCACACAAGGGTCTCAAGAAAAAGAAACCCACTGCCAGACCAATGCCTTTGCTCGGTCCTATATTTCCCTCCCCCTAATACGTAAAGCCCCCGTCCCCCGAATGTGTCTTATACTCCCCTCCCTCCAATATGTAAAGCCCCCTACCCCCGAATATTAAATGCACCCGGTATAGCTATTTTGTAGTAGTGGGGGGGGGGGGGGGCATGTGATTTTAGGGGGTCGGGGGCGTTTAGTATTAGGGGGACCCTTATACTAACAGTCCTTGAAGTGATTCTAACAGGGTATCAAGGACTGAGTATACCAAGGGGTGCATCCCAAACTTTCTGCGATATTGCACAAGATGTTCCTTAGCAATGCAGCCCAGCAGCCCCTCGGTTTCATAACATGTGCTCCTTGCGTGCGGCTTTCAGGCCTGTGGACCCACCCATCTTTTGACAACCATTCCTCAGCCTAGGCGAGACTTCTACAAGTTGCTTGGGCGCACGGACGATGATGACTTCTCCTCACCCTCTGATACTGCCACGCCGGCTCTCGAATGAGGCTTGTCGCCCATGCAGCAGCTGAAAAAGATTGCGGGTACGCCAACGTCGCACCAACACCGACCCACGCAGAGAGAGCGAGAGAGAGAGAGCTCGTCTGCTAAAGTTCTAGACTGCTGACTGCTGTCGCAATTCGCACCTGACCGAATACTCGCACCAAAAGCACGCCTCGGCAAAGCGCCCAGTTTTGCATGGCGAGGGTGTGACTGGGCAGCAAAGGTTCTTGGTCCATGAAGGTGACGCAAGTTGCTTCCAGGCACTGGGTACCCGACTCACAGGCCCAAACTGCTATCAAATGGGCCCCGTGCTGAAGCCTGAACTGTAGGCCAAGATCAACCCTAAGGGTCCATCTGCCTCTATAGCATGCCAAGGAAGAACCCCTTGAAGGCCCAAGTACCTTCTACAGAGCTGCATGGGTCCTTTGGCTGGGCTGATACTGATGCAGCAGGTTTGTCTTGAAAGCAACGAAAGGAGGCACACCACTCTGCCAAAAGCCGTGACATCGCCACGAGCGCGCAAGGCCGTGCAGAAGCCGACACATGGGCGTATTCAAGGGGGGTGGGGGGGGGGGGGGGGGGGGGGGGCAGGGCGGACATGAAATTGGCTCGCCTGGGCTCGTTTTGTCAATAAAAGTTCATCGGCTTGTGGATTCAGACACACAGTGGACTCTTGGACCTGAGCATTCTGGCCGAGCTGCTGCAGAAGCTTAGAAGCTGAGTAGGTAACCTTTATCACCTTTTGGGCACCATATCATCCTACCATAATTGAAAGGAAGGTTAACCATTTTGTGCCCAGCGCACTCAGCAAACTAGGGAAGGCAAGGAGGCACCTCATTCTCCGGTGGAGTCTTGCCCCTTCTGCGAAAGCCCGGGCCAAAGTACTGCAAAGACAAGTCCTGGGATCTCACATCCGTGCATTTCATGTCGCGCGAACATGTGGGGGCCCTTATAGTATGGACCGCAGCAAGGTGCCCCTAATATCGTAAACCCCCATGTCGCAGAAGATGCCCAAAGAGGAGCTTGAACTTGCTTTAGTAGGCCGTCGCCTCATACAACCTCGCAAGTTGTCGGCTGACCCATTGGCTACATGGTTCAGGGCCCTCCATGCCCCAAGGTTTGCATACGGCCTTCTGAATGTGTTGTTTTGCTTTCGTGGCAATATTTCAACATTTGGTTGGAGGGTTTAGGGTTCAGCGTAAAATAGCATGCTACAATCGGTACTTTTGGGTAGTAAGAATCACAACCTACCCAGTCAAGTCTTCAGGAAATGCACGCCATGAGGACAGCGTCGCACATGACGGCTTTTGCGCTAAGGGTTGTTTCGAGATGTTGTCCGAATTTGAAGGTTCAGGGTTTGGG